GGAATTTTTCAAAATGGATTCCGGAATTTTTCAAAATCGATCCCGGAAATTTTCAAAAACGTTTCTGGTATTTTTCAGAGAGTAGGCCGGACACGTTCAAAAACGCCCCAGGATTTGATCAAGTTGTACCCCCAGAGAATTTTCCAGAGACGCGCGTGATTTGCCTTGCCGGGTCTTTGAAATCCGCCGAGGCGCGCGGCGCGCGGCGGTGGGCGATGGGGCGGCGCGCCAACGCCCCCCCCCGCGCTCGGCAACGAGAAGGGGGGTCAGCAAGTGCCAAATAGGCCCTTACGGGCGACCGCTCGATAGCGAATGGGTGACCGACCGCCGGCGCCAGCCAGAGTAGACAACGCTCGGCGCAAAGTGTACCCCGCGCGAAGGCTGTTAGAAATCCCGGAATCTCCGGAACGTATCAATAGCACGTTGTGTCAATAGATTCTTCTCGTCCTAGTCAGAGCGTCGCAAGCTTTCCCGACGGGCCTGGGCAGCGCGGGCGTGCGCGGCAGGGGCGCAGCTGTCCGCGCAAGGACTGTTCGGGATCTGGGGCCGGAGCGGAGACGAGCACATCGACGCCAGCGGGCTGCTTCACGCGCGTGAGCACCTTGGCATCGCGACTGCCGAGGCGATGGTCATCGCACTGGGCGCGGGCGGAGACGAAGGGGTCAGCAACGGCGAGATGCGCGCGAAGCTTGCGCGGCCACTTGCAGCGCAGCCGCCGGCGGGTGGAGCGGCGCCCCACGGGGCGGTGGAGACGGCGCAGCGCAGCCGCAGGAACGGCCCGCGCTCGGCGGCACAGACAGCCGCGAGCCGCTGGCGGGAGGCCCGCCGCGGCCTGCGCGGGCGCGCGGGAGGGCGGCGCGTCGCGAGGTGGAGGAGGGCCAGTTTAGGGTGGGCGGGGCGCGGCTAGCAGGGGATCGGCAACGCGCGCGTGCCTTCGCGTCAGAATGGAGCTCTTGGGCTGAGATGTATCAGCCAGGTCCCGCGCGGAGGGGTGTTTTTTTTGCTGGCGCAGTGCGTGGTGCTGTTCGTCAGGATCGCATTTTTAATTTCTCCCCCTCTCTCTCTGCGCCGGTGCTGAACGATCTCCTGGCCGCAGTCAATGCAGTCGGTCATGCTGTCGTGAATTTGGCGCCCTCGGACCGCGCCCCTGTCGCTGCGGCCGTCTCGACCGGGGCCCTGTTCGCCTTTCCCGCCCAGGTTCCTAAATCTAATTCCCATCGTGAGTTGTGCCATGGGCTCTGTTGCAGTGCGATCCTGGAGATCGACCCGCGGCGGCTTTCCCCCGTGGGCAAACTCGCTCGCGCCATGGAGATATTCGGGCAGATGGTTCCGTTTCCAGAAGCTCAGTTGAGTCTTCGCCCCCCGAGGGCCCAGAGTGAACGCTTGCGCGGCGCAGTCATCGCTGGTGCGGGGCGGGGGGGGGGGGGCTCTGGGCGAGCGGGGGGGGGGGGGGCGCGGCGAAGCGCAGGAGGGTGGCGCGGATTCGACGCCTGCGACGGGCTTGGGCGAGGCGTGGGCGTTATGGGCTCTCTGGGGTTCTGGGCCCCGACGGAAACGCCCGCCCGCCCCCGATGCTTCGGCCGCTGCTCTCATGGCCCATTGGGGGCAAGTTTTCGCGCGTCAGGAACCAGGTCGCTCTCTCTGGCTTGAGATCTTGGAGCGCGCGGAAACCGCGCTGATCGTGTCCGCTTCATGGCGCTTGGATATTGCGTCGCTGGTGGAAAGAGCGCGTCATGCGCGCCGCCCTGCCCTTGGGGGGGGGGGGGGGGGGGGGGGGGGGGTCCCGCGTGGGCTTTGGCGGGCGGGTTGCGCGGCAGACGTTCTCTGCGCGGTGAATTCTGAGATGCGCGATGCCTCTGGAGGGCGCTTTCTGCGCGCGTGCAAATGGGTTGCGCGCGCGTCCTGCCAGGTGGCCTGGCGGAAGACGAGAGCTCTGATGAGCTGGTGCGCGCCCCTGGTGGGCCCCTCCCCCTGGCCCTCCCCAGCGCGGATGCGAGACCGCCGGGCGCTGCTATCTCGCTTGGCCTGCAGGGGGGGATGGGGGCTCCTGGGCAACGTTGTCGGGATCGAGCGTTGGGCTGCGCCCCCCTCGCTCGTCGTTGTGTGGCTCCTGGCGGTTCTCGCGGCGATGCGTTTCCCCCGTGAAGTTTGCGGCTTCTACTGGGGGCTGCAAAGAGGTGAGGTCACCGCGATTAACTTCCCTGCGGCGTGGCCTCTGGAGTCGAGGTTGCGAGGCGAGTTCGTCAAGTGGGCCCGACATCGATGCTGCTGTTCGCGTATGCCTTGGGCCCAGTTCTCGGGTGGATCGGGGGTGAAGCCGACATCTCTGCTTCTGCCTCGCCGGCGCCATCTCTGGTCTCCAACCTACCTGGGAGCGACTGCTCTCGAGAGGGCAGTCGCCCTGGGATTGAACCTGCCGAAGTGGGAGGTGCTAGTTGCAGGGGTGCTGACGCCTGAACTGCTCGCGGGTTTTTGGCGAAGGAGGAGTAGTTTTGCCGAGGTCATTGGTTATGTTCGTGCGGCTCTTCATCTTGAGTTCTGGCTGGGGCCTGGTGCCCCATCGAAAGTTCGGGGCAGTGCGATTCCGAAGTTCTGGATAACTGTTCGGAGGCTTAGTGGGCTAGGGCTGCGGCTCCCGCGGGTGATCCGTCTCTGCCACTTCAATTGCATGTCGTTCGTGGCCAACCAACTGCAGTTGCGCCCAGTGATGAAGCAGCTGAGGGTCATAAAATTTCGATTCTTCATGTCTTCTTCTAGATTTGATGAGATCCATCAAGATGTTGAGGCATTGGTAGTGTCTGTGGAAGACGACGAGTTCATTCTCGCGCGGACGAGCTGGGCTTGGTGGAAGCAGTCGTGGACCTGGGCGACTGGGCGAAGCGTTTGAAGGCCCTCCGTGGCCCAGTGGTCCTGGTCCGCACTTGGCCACGAGGGCGTCTAGGCGGGTGGGGCCCGGCCGATTCTCGGTCGCCGACTTCCAGGCCCTGGCCAGGAGGATGCGGCAGGTAGAGAAAGACAGCGCGATGCACCTAGTGACGGGTGTCCTCAAGGTCGCGTGCAGAGGTGTGTGCGCGTCGAGCCGAAGTCGCGCGACTTCGCTAGGTTGCGCCTTTGGTTGCGTGGAGGAAACCGTTGATGACCATCTTCGGCATCATTCGTGTGTGCCCGAACCCCGAGCGATGTCGCATTGGTATCTGTCCCCGTGGTGGATTGCTGACATCGTGGACAGAAGTTGGGAGGTGATGCTTCTCCTTTAGCGCTCTGATGTCTGCGGCAACAATGGGGGAGGTTTCGTGACCGCGCGCGGCGCGCTCGGATTGGCCGAAGGACGGGCTCCCAGGTCCCTGGGGGCTTCCCGGTCAAAGCTCGGCTCAGGCAGCTGTTTCGCCGTCGCCCCGAACTGCCCGAAGCGCTTCGGTCGCTCCGTCTTGTTGCCGCCGCTCGGCGTGGCCCATCCCTCCTCCTCCGCCCGTGCCTCCTGCCCCTCGTGGGTTGGGGTGACATATTGAGGGCCCACACCTGTTGTCCCCCGTTTCCCTGTGGCTCCTTAGTTTTCCTCCCCTGTACCCCCTGCTCCTGCATGGTATCGACAGCGTTTGCGACCGTTGTGGGTCTTTCGAGGTTGGCTGGCTGGTTTTCCGATATCTGTTTTGCCGTTGAAGGCTAACCTCTTTCGTGTCTGGACGTGTTGTTTTGGCTAATTCAGGGTCAGCCATGGTCCCTCAGACTGGGTGGAGTGTCTTGAGGACATTGGCCTTTTCCTTCCTTCTTTTCATTTCCTTGCCCTTGCTGCTGGTTCTCCTCGGTCGTCCCCGCCGTCGGCTCGTCCTGTCGCCGCCGTCGGTATCGTTTCCCTCCTGGTCCTCGGTTTGCTGCCCGCTGCGGTTCCCTTGGTCTG